TTGAATCCTTATCCAAATAGGTTTTGATTTTGAAATCAAACCTATTTAGGATAACCACTCTTGAAACAGACGTTATCAGTTTGAACTGATATAGATAGATATAATATATATTGGATATTATCTGTATCTTAACTGATATGGATAGATATTATAATATATTAAATATTTGTTATATGGTTATGGGTAATCCAAGAGAACTAACGTTGAGTCTGTTTTCTACCCATATACTGACTCTCTCCCAAGAAAAAAAAAACAACGATCAAGTCAGTTGCACTGTGGTTTGTGTGGGTGATATTCACCATTGTAATATCACCCCACTGTTGGGATTGATTGAGGAGGATTCTGGAAGCACGTGATTTATCCACGAAGTTTTAGATCACAAGAGGTATGATCTGTTGATTTTATTCCGCTGCATGTTTTGTGTTTTCATTTACAATCTTCTATACTAAGTGAACAACTTTGCTGGTGTCCTAAAACTACGACCATGAGTTTGATAAATAAGACTCTTATTATATATTGTGAATATTTTGGGGATTGATTTCTGATCTCACAATCAAATAGAGAATTTATAGCTGGAGAATACGCGGCAGAATAGATTAAACCAAGTTTTTGCCAACAATAAGACAAGAATACCACGATAGCTTGTTTACTCGAGGGCACTCCGATGATCAAGTCAATCATTTATTTCTCAGAGATATTAAGGCCAAGTTTGGGAAGTCCAAAATAATTCATCTTTTTATCTTTTTATCTTTTTTTCATTACATTACCTCTCTACTTTTCTGCACATCTTTTCGTAAAAAGACAAAAAGTGTACTTATTTAGGTCATCTCAAACAAACAACCCCTAAATCAAGTATTCAGTGTACAAGTAAAAACATATCTTAAACCTACGAGATGCTTCATTTGTATAGCCAATGGGACCCTTGTCTCCTACAAGTCTTATTTCATAGGACTCAAGTACAACACTTATTTCGGACTCTTAATTAAATATGGATAAACTCCTAAAGAGTCTCATCCTTATCTAAACTAAGTGCCTCATCTTATCTAGGACTCTTGTCTTCTATTTGAATATCTCGAATTCTGATATTACAGTACCATATCTCGGTAATATCACAACTATCTCGACAACTTGGCTAGTCTATATGACACATCAGCTAACCATCAACCACATGACACGATCGTAAAATTATATCCCACAAATATTTTATTTTATTTTATTTTTATTTATTTAAATTATACATGCATTATATATGTCAACCACCAGTAAATTATAAGCAATCAAACGTTCATGCACAAATTCTATATATATATACAAAAAAAAAATTATAAGTAAATCCCATAAACTAGATCAAAACAGACCAGTAATACGAGACTTCTCAGCTTTTGATGGGTTGTGTTTGTCTCTTCCTTTACACCATCTAACGTTAAAAAAAGACCTCAAAACACAAAACCTGTCCGAACACCATGGTGGGTTTGGCCTTTTATAAAATAACTCTCTCTCTCTCATGGGCCAATCTCCTCTTCTTCTCGTGCTTAGATTCCTAAAACACAAACCTTAATTCTAACATAATTTAAAGTAAATATGGACTAAAAAATATATATTATTATATGGTGAAGGAAGTAATCCAAAATGATCATATATATATATATATATGCTTAGCAGCAATGGCCTCTTGTCACGCGACATCACGTGATATAGCTTTCTATGATTCGATTTCAAACACCCCTATTATTAATTGAGATTTAATTAGTCTTCTCGTTCTAAAATATTAATTTTTTATTCTATTTTTTATTATCTCAAAATATTAATTTTTTTCAAAAATTCAGGACTAAAACAATGTGAATTTCCTATTTTGTCTTTATTTTAAATTTATTAACAACACAAAAAGTATAATTATGACAATTGATATTCTAAAAAAAAAAATGTATCATCAATAAGATTTTTAAAGTGTAATAATTGTATTACTTAAAAAAAGTTAAACTCTAAAAAAAAAAACTATTAATTTAGAATGGAGAGAGTATTAAACATTATAAAACACTCTAATTTTGTTGTGGGTTGCGACCTGCTGGCCACCAAGTCAAATTTGTTACTCTCAATTTCTAAGAAATAGCGTTTTTTATTTTGTCATTTTTTCACTAAATTAGTTTTATTTTTTATTTTTCAAAAATAAATAATTAAAAAAACTACAGGATACGAAATAATAATAATAATGCTTCAACCAATTAAATTCATTTGAATTATTTCCTTGATCCGACAATATGATTGGCTTGTCATACTCCAATATTAAGGACATTGATATTATTAAATAAAGAGTCATTATCCAAATTGATTTTTGTCCTATAGATCTGGTTGCGAGACAAGGATCTATTTGGAGCTTATTCGTATGAACCCTCCACCACAATATTTGTTATTCTGCACTGTTTTAGATCTAAGATTCCCAACTCATTTCTCGTCTTCACATTTCTACCCTTTTTTTTTTTTGGGTGTGTTTGTATTGTTGTATTACCCTAGTAATATAGAATTTCCCATTTTAAAAACATATAATTTTTTGAAAAAATCAAGAAACCTATAAACTAATTATAGAACCAGATATAACTATATCATATGAGTAGGCTTCACTCTCATGTGTAGAGCAGTAAACGAGCCGAGTTTGAGGGTATTTGAGTTTGGTTTGCTAAGAGTTAATCGAATTCAAGCTTAAGTTCAACTTGTGAAGTAATTGAGAAACTCAAGTTTGGCTTGAAACTTTGATTATATATATGAGCTTAAAAATCGAGTTCGAACTTGTTTATTATAAACTAATAGAACTCAAACAAGCACTTTATGGACAGTTCTGATTGTTTGTAGTCCTACACGTATGAGAGAGTTAAGTTTGATTTTTTGATTGATTTTTGTGAAAGTACAAGAACCGTAAAATTTTCATGGAATAATGTAAAAAAATCTAGTACTTGCAGGATTGTGCCTTTTTCTAGAAACATGTTTGTATTTGTATTGTTATTATTTCCATACTCAAGTAAGATTCAAACTCATTCTAAGACAAAAATTAGCTTAAAATTGGGTGGGATGCCTTGGGGAAAAACTATAGCATTACTGAATATTCAGATTAAAAATAAAAAAAGAAAAGAACCAATTTCAACAATTTGCTCTCACCAATTCTCATCTTCTCCTAATTTGGTGTCAATTGAGGATTTTGTTATTCTAAAGTTTTCCGTTTCTCAGTCCTAATGCACTTTAATTATTGAATTATGCAGAAATTTTGAGACAAGTAAAATTTAAAATATAATCCAATAACTGAAATTGCATTGAGACATTAAGATTTAGAAACAAAAATTGTGTTTTATTTGCATGATACTTCTTACTAGTTCTTACAAATTATATGTAACTTTTATCTTAAAATGTTAATATTAAATTTGACAAATATAGTAGTAAAATGTCTTAAATATAGTAATTCTTGGTGGACTCATTTCAAGTCCACTGATCAAGAGAAAAAACGAGCCATATGTTCCTCATGACCAATAGGCTGAAAATGATGAAACTGACAAGACCTTAGACATTGCTGATATTTTTATTTCAATTCGTATCATTCGTTACCAATAAATCCAGAAATCGAATGAAAATGATATTGGTAAGTGATAACAAAACAGTACCATGTGAAGTGATAGAAGTTGACATCTAAATATAGAGATGTCAAGATACAAAAATTCGGTTATGGAAAATATATTGACGTCTCGTTTGGTAATATCACTTTTTAGTTTGAAAGTTAAAAAATCACAAAAAAAATTAAAAAATTAACAATTTATACCAAAAAAGTTAAAGATTTTATTTTCTTTTTACTTTTTGTATATTTTTTCGTAAAAAAATAAAAAGTCATTCTAAACGTACTAATTTTTTTACATCATATTTTAGTCAAAAAGTTACTAAAAAAGTCTGTTTCTAAACGAGGCCTGAGAGAGGAAGAGTTAGTCAAGCAGATATAAACAGTAATGTTAGGAGCACAGAAACTAAATACAGAATTAGACACAATTCTTTCACAATATGGGGCCTTACTCCCTTGTGAGTAAGGTACGTATTATTTTGTATTTAGTTTCTGTGCACATAAACTTACTCAGATATAAATACATAAAATTATAACATATATTTATATGAGAGAGAGAGAGGTACACCATTGCATAAAATTTATCAACTCTTCACGACGCGAGATTTTTTGCCTTTGAAATTCATGTTCATGTCCTCAATCCACTCTGGCATGGTAATGCTTTGAAATTCTTATATTTCGATTTTTTTTTTAATCATATTAAAGGTTGGAAACTTATTGGGAATACACAAGAACAAAAACAAAAAAGTTCAATTTTTTTAAAACTTTTTTTTGACGAGTTTTCATTTGTGTTTAGTGAACTTTGTTATTTTCATTAATTTTTTTTTAAAAACTTTTTAGATACTTCAAAGATTAAATACATCTAAAACATTAAAAATTGGACAAAATATGAAGGAAAAAAAATCACTAAACAAAAACATAGAGATTTTTGTTCGGATTTTCAATTATTTTTAGTGAAGCATTTTTATATTTTAATCAATTTTTTATAAAACTTTTTAGATGCATCTAAATTAGGTACATCTAAAAAGTAACTAAAATTAAAAAAAAAAAAAATACCAAAAGCAAACAAAAATTATTTAAAAATAATTTTTAAAAAATCAAATCAAATAAAACATTTTGAACAATTTTTGTTCATCTCCTCAATACAACCATAAAATTTTTCTCACATCATACTGTTGTGTTTGGTTTGAGTTTTAGAGACGAGTTTTAGAAAAAAAATTTCAAAAAATTGTTTAGTTTGAGATTTTTCTCAAAAAATTTCCAAAGTCATTTTCTCTCTCTTACACATCAATCAATCACTTTTTTTCTCTCCTCTTTCCTTCTCAATCACTTTTCCTCTTATACACATCTACTCAATTATAACAAAATATCAAATCATCCCAAACTCCCAAACTCCAAAACTATTTTCAAAATATACAACTAAACAAACCAAAAAAATTTCTAAAACAACTCTCCCAAATTTTTTTCAAAAACAACTCTCCCAAAAACAAACCAAACAAGCCCAAACAATTTTTTCTTTTAAACCCTCATTGAGGGCACAGCCTATCTACCTTCCATTTTAAAAATAACTGTCATCTCCCTCCTTTCCTTGCACTCACTCCTAACTTGCTCCATAAACAAGTCCAAGAAAAAACAACCATCTAAAATTCCATCTCTTTCTGCACAAACACATCATGGCCTAGCTGTTTCTTGGATCTTGAGATTTTGGGTCTCTCCCTATATTTGTTTATGCAACCATTTAAAAACCATAGCCCACAAGACATGATTTGGTTTCTCTCCCATTGTCCCTCCTCCCTATCCTCAAACCCCTCATTTTTGTGTCTTTGTCATTGAAGTTTGTATCATAGCTCTAATGCCTGTAAATCCATGGAACCTCTTCTACTTCTCTACATTTTCCCTACTTTTAGTAACAATCGCCTCTGCCGTCAACTCACAAGGCGAAGCGCTTCTCTCATGGAAGAGAAGCTTGAATGGATCATCAATGGAGGCATTAAGTAATTGGGACCCAACTGATGAAACTCCATGTGGGTGGTTTGGGATCTCTTGCAACTTCAATAAGGAAGTTGTGGAGCTCAATTTGAGGTATGTCGATTTGCTTGGAAATGTTCCCTCTAATTTCACCTCATTATTGTCCTTAAACAAGCTCATTCTATCGGGTTTGAATCTCACCGCTACGATTCCAAAAGAGATTGGTGCTCTGAAAAAACTTACTTACTTGGACTTGAGTGACAACGCCTTGGCCGGTCAAATCCCGAGTGAGATTTGCAACTTGTCCAAGCTCGAGGAGCTTTATCTCAATTCCAACCGGCTTGAAGGCTCAATACCGGTTGAAATTGGAAAGTTGAGGAGCTTGAAACAGATGATTCTATACGACAACCAACTCAGTGGTGAAATTCCGAACACCATAGGACATTTAATGAACCTTGAAGTGATAAGAGCGGGTGGCAACAAGAACCTTCAAGGGTTTCTTCCACAACAAATTGGCAACTGTAGCAATTTAACCATGTTAGGCCTAGCCGAAACAAGCATCTCAGGGTTCCTCCCTCCGACCCTCGGCCTCCTCAAGAAGCTCGAAACCATCGCCATCTACACCGCCCTACTCTCCGGCCAAATCCCACCGGAGCTCGGAGACTGCACCGCCTTACGAAACATCTATTTATACGAAAACTCGCTCACCGGATCGATTCCAACCAAGTTGGGAAACCTCAACCGCCTCCAAAACCTCCTTCTATGGCAGAACAACCTCGTGGGCACGATTCCACCCGAGCTAGGATATTGCAGAGACCTATTGGTAATCGACTTATCAGTGAATTCACTCACTGGAACCATTCCAGATACTTTTGGGGATTTGAATTCACTTCAAGAACTTCAGTTGAGTGTCAATCAGATCTCCGGGGAAATCCCGAACAAGCTCGGAAATTGCCTGAATCTGACCCACATCGAGCTCGACAACAATCAATTCACCGGACCCATACCCGAAGAATTTGGGAATTTGAAGAACCTAACATTACTGTTTCTGTGGCAGAACAAGCTTCAAGGGTCTATACCTTCGTCATTGTCGTCGTGCTTCGACCTCGAAGCCATTGATCTGTCTCAGAATGCATTCACAGGTCAAATTCCCAAGACTATCTTCGAATTGCCGAATTTGAACAAGTTTATGATCTTGTCCAACAATTTCTCCGGCGTGATTCCGCCGGAGATCGGAAAATGCTCGTCGCTAGTTCGCTTCAGAGCGGGCGATAACAAGCTCACCGGCTCAATTCCGAAGGAGATTGGGAATTTGAGGAATCTGAATTTCTTGGACCTCGGATTGAATCGGCTAACCGGAGCTATTCCGGCGGAGATCTCCGGCTGCCGGAATCTGACTTTTCTGGATCTACATTCGAATTCAATGGCCGGAAACTTGCCGGAGAATCTGAACCAGCTCGTCTATCTTCAATTTGTGGATGTTTCCGATAATCTCATCGGAGGGACGATGAGTCCGAGTCTCGGATCGTTGAGTTCACTCGCCAAACTCGTTCTTCAAAAGAACAGATTGTCGGGTTCGATTCCGACTCAACTCGGTTCGTGTTCGAAGCTTCAGTTACTAGACCTAAGCAGCAACGAACTCTCCGGCGAAATTCCGGCTAGTTTGGGGAACATTCCGGCGCTCGAGATTGCTCTGAATCTCAGCTGCAACAAACTCTCAGGCGAAATTCCGGCGGATTTCACAGCACTGAACAAGCTCGGAATCTTAGATCTCTCTCACAACAATCTCTCCGGCGACCTCAAATGTCTCGCGAACCTCCAAAATCTTGTCGTCCTCAACGTCTCGTCCAACAACTTCTCGGGCCGATTACCAGAAACCTCCTTCTTCGCGAAGCTTCCTGTCATCGTCCTCGCCGGAAACCCAAACCTCTGTTTTCCGGGGAACAATTGCGCCGCCGCAGACGGAGGCTCAGCTACACACGGCGCGGCGGCGAGGGTGGCGATGGTGGTGCTACTCTGCGCCGCGTGCGGGCTCCTCCTCGCGGCGCTGTACATCGTCCTGAGAGGTAAAACAACGTCGGAATGCGATCTCGAAGGCGAAAACGACGTCGCAACGCCATGGGAGATCACGCTCTACCAAAAGCTCGATCTCTCAATCGATGAAATCGCCAAATCGTTGATACCCACAAACGTGATCGGCCATGGACGATCTGGGTTCGTTTTCAAAGCAAACACCTCGTCAGGACAAACCATCGCCGTGAAAAAATTCCTGTGGTCGGAGAAGCTCTCCGCCGCCGCATTCTCGTCGGAAATTGGAACTCTGGCTCGAATCAGACACAGGAACATAGTGAGATTGTTGGGTTGGGGAGTGAATGGGAAGACGAAGGTGTTGTTGTATGATTATATGAGGAATGGGACATTGGGAGGTTTGTTACATGGTGGTGGTGGAATGGTGGTGGAGTGGGGGATGAGGTTGAAGATAGCGTTGGGGGTGGCGGAGGGGTTAGCTTACTTGCACCACGACTGTGTTCCGGCGATAATACACCGGGACGTGAAGGCGGATAACATTTTATTGGGTGATCGGTACGAAGCCTGCTTGGCGGATTTCGGATTGGCCAGAGTTGGAGAAGATGAAGATGGGTCGTTTTCTGGTACTCCTTTTCAGTTTGCTGGCTCCTACGGCTACATTGCACCTGGTAACTTTTCTCTATCGCACTGTTTTTGTTTTTCAAAATAATTCAGTAAAAATTCAATGTCAATACCGATCGCCTAATATCACTCTATAAATATATGTGATGCGTTTATCTGAATTTTATTAGTCAAAATAATAAAATTTATCTTTTTAGTGTTTCTTTTGAAAAAAAATATCATAATAAATACCTTAATATGAGTATGAGGGGTGTTAATCGATATTCTAATATCACTAAATAACATTTTTTATATTCTATCATATTTAGAGATTGTTTGGTATGTAATAAATCTTTTTATTTTATTTGAATCGCATCTCTTATTATTTGAATCATATGATTTCTCTATTACATTATATATCTTCTCATGAAAAATTAAAAAATATATTTATTTAAATTATTCAAAACAATTCTTTACAATCTCATCCAACCTAAGGGAAGTATCAAAGAATCTTTAACCATTTGAAAGTAACATGGAGTGGTGAATTGAGTTTGGCATTTGGTATAGAATTTTACATTTGTCAAATGGGTAAAAAACGATAAAAGCACATTTTGTCATGAACTTTCAAGCATAGCTATGCTATTTGTTGCATTGTACCATAAAATTTGATAATGACAGTAGATATGGATGTGAAAGGACATGGATATGAAGGGACATGATTGCTTCAATTATGCGCAAGTTGGGAATTTGCTTTCATATGCATTGGCCCATTATGATCCCATCCGAGTCCACTTTCTATGGTGCATGCATGCCACTGAAATCACATCATTTGTCACTGACCCAAGCTTAGCATATGTGGTGAAAAATATTTGGTGATGTGAATTTGTGTGATTCAAATGATTTGAATGTGTATTTTGACCTAAGATGATATCGGTTTGAGACATTCAAGCTATTCGAATCAAGAAAATTCAGGTCACCTAGCATTATTGTTTTTTAAAACACATTTTTTAAAACAATTTGTCCCCAAAAAAAATTAAGTGAAAAAACAAATCATTTTTTTTTTCTCCTAAATATCACACTTAACAAAAAAATTCCTTGTCCACTAGGCCAAATCCTGCGTCCCATCACAACATTTGGTAATAAACCCTACAAGAAGTTGTAATTTTTCTCATTAGACAAAAAATAAATAAAATAATAATTTAAACCTTTGCTTTCAAAATTGGTGATTGCAGAGTATGCCAACATGCTAAAGATCACTTCAAAGACCGATGTCTACAGCTACGGCGTAGTATTGCTTGAAATAATCACCGGAAAGAGACCCGTAGACCCATCATTCTCAGAAAACCAGCAACATGTGATTCAATGGGTTAGAGATCACTTGAAGAGCAAAAAAGACCCGATTGAGATCATTGATCCGAAGCTCCAAGGCCACACAGACTCTCAAATTCAAGAAATGTTCCAAGCTCTCGGCATATCCCTTCTTTGCACCAGCAATCGGGCCCAAGATAGGCCCGCGATGAAAGATGTTGTGGCACTATTGAGAGAGATTCAGCATGAGCACGTGACTAGTGTTGAGGCCCAAAAGCCAATTAAAATGTCCAATGCTCCGTCACCGAATTCGGCAGCGGTAGCAATTGATAAGTTGATGGACCTCCACGGGTCATCTAATTGCTCACTTTTTAACTCCTCTTCTTCTGCTAGTTTTCAATAATCTGTAACGAATGTTGTAACACCATTTATTACGAAGTAGTGCATTGTGACAATGATGTTAGCTGAGGAGATTAATAAGCGTATCAACAAATATATATAATTAGACATAATGTTAGGTGAACTCTATGTTAAGCAGAATTATTATATTGGTTCGGAATCACGTGTATGTTTTATGTTTTTGTTGATATATTTGTTGCTAGGTTTATTAGTGTTGTTAGCATTACTCCTACGGTAAAATTTAGAAAGTATACCTTTACGTAATCATTTTAGAAAGTATAGCTTTACATAATCATTTTAGATTATCTGGAAAAAATAAGTGCTATAGTCATAAATTTTATTTTGAAAAATATTCAAGAGTAAATGTGGTTTATAGATATTTTTTTTAATGTTATTGGTTTACAAATCATAGCTCTCTCTTTTCCATCTAAGATAAGGCAATTCTACAAGGAAATTGTGATTAAAAAAAACAAACTGTGTTTTTTTTTGGTAATCTTTGATGTCTCCTTTGATTAGTCTTCTTATGCTACAAATGTTGAAATTTCATTATGTTTATTGGTCATAGTGTTAAATAATTGGTGACTGACATAGTTTTTAAATTTTTAAAGGGAAAAAAATATAATGTAATAGTCTTCTTTTGTAGTGTTATCGGTCAATAAATTATTTTAAATGAATTAATTGGATAAGTTTTATTTTTGACTAATTCAAATTTATTGTGATTTTTATTATAAATCAAGATACTTAGGCCATGTTTGTTTGGGCGGACTGGATTAGCATTCCCATGACTAATAATCCTAGGACTATGAATCCGTTGGATTATTTATCCTATCTTAACTAATAATTAAGTTTAAAATAATTAGTCCCTACTTCAATTGTTTAACCAAATATCGGATTAATAATTTTATTGGATTATTAATCTAATCCCAAGCACATGTCCACTCAAACAAACATGACCTTAATTCTCAAGATTATTGTGATAATGACCCTGTTATTAATTCAGGATTATTATTTCTGATTAGAGATTGTGTATGGTGTGGGGTGAAGTGCACGTGTGAGTGTGTGGAGAAAGAGAGAAAGAGATCAATTTGGGTGTTGCTTTTATGAGTGAAGTCATTATCCATCACTTCATTTGTCCAAAAACAAAGAAGAATACGATGTGTGGATATCGATCGATATGGTCGTGTGCGCTGTCGTTTGTGTTTGCAAAGTTCAACTCTCTCTCTCTTACCTAAGAGAGAGTGAAAGAGACGTGGGCAATGATTGGCACAAGAGTTATTTACAGAGTCACAAAATTAAATATAAAAAGTTTGGTTTTTCTTAATTTGGTATGGTGAATTTGATAAAGCATTTGAGCTCAATAGATTTATTTTTAAATTTGGCATGGTCAATTTGATAGAATATTTGAGCTGAATAGATTTATTTTGAGACTAATTTTATTTAAATCCTTTATTTTTTATGAAAAAAATAGAGGTCTATTCTTAAAAATTTTGTATAAATATTCTATTCAACGATTTTTACAAAACAAACAGTTTAGATGATCGAAATCAGTCCCAAAGCCCTATCCAGTTAAAATAACAATTTGAGAGAAATCAAAACCTAAATATAAAATACATATAAATAAATGAATTAAAAACTTTAAATTCTATTGGCATAGTCTTTTTTTTTTTTTTTGAAATAAAAAATATGATTGGATTTTTTTTTTAAAATAAAAAATATCCAATCATATAAGTATTGTGTTTAGTTATGTCTTCATTTGGCAAGTGAGTTAGGTTTATGTTGAGACTAAAAAAGTACTAAAAAGACAAAATAGACTAAATAAGCTAATAAGACAAAATATAACATTTAAATCATAATCATTTTACTTTTTTTATTACAAAAAGTCCAAAAAAAATTCTCAAATGAAACTAATTTAACCAAGTTAAATTAGCCAAAATGTCAAAAAATCATGCTAATTTTCCCCCCCAAACGAATCCTATGTAATGAAATTTTGCTTTCCTAGACTTGTTTTCATCGGAGAAATACTATATTAAAATGTTTTGAAATTTAATCCATAAAACCTTTATGGTATGTTTGATTGGGTGGATTAGAGTATGGGATTAGGATTATTAATCCGTGAGCCCAATTATTCTATGTTTGTTTTAACATTTTGGTTTAGGATTATTAATCCAATGGATAATTAATCCAACAAATTTGTAGGATTATTAGTATGGGCTAGTGGTGGGATTATTAATCCAATTGGATAATGAATACCACGCTAATTTAATAGAATTATTAATACTTCACTATTAATCTTGTGAATCAAACATGACCTTAAATGATAATTTTCATAAATATACATCCCATGCAATTCAACACAAGGTAAATCCTGGTTCTAGCAAAGATAATGGAACCACAAATCACAAGATTGGAACCCTGAGAGATCGAGTGAGTCTAAAAGCATCACCAATACAAAAGTTCTTGAATTGCTCTAATAAACTATTGAATTAAAATGCTGCGAGTATATTTTAAGAGAAAAAATTGTAGACACAAGCCCCATTTGATTATAAAAAATAAAAAATCATTATCTTGAAAAGTAAAAAGTAGTAGAAGATAAAGTAGTAGAAGATAAAGTATATATATAGTATCAAAAATGATCGAGGCCTCAAATTTTTTGGCTCAAATTTGATTCAAATTTTTTTTTTTTTTCTTCTTTTTTTGGCTGGGTTGATGCTTTGCTTGTTATTATTATTATTATTATTATTTTTATTTATTTATTTTTGCAATGTATTAGCCCAGAAAAAAAAAAATTGCATTTGAGGCAATTTCGAGCCTCATTTTCGAGGCCTCAATCACAGCCCATATAATATATATGTTATGAATTTGATTAAAAAAAAAAAAAAAATTGCATTCGAAGCAATTTCGAGCCTCATTTTCGAGGCCTCAATCACAGCCCATATAATATATATGTTATGAATTTGATTAGAATAAATTTTTTATAAGAAAATAGAAGTTCTAATTACAAATAATTATTTTTATAACAAATTTAAATTTTCTTGTATTCTTTATATAAAAAAAAAAAATTGAAAGTCTTAATTACCATGCAAAATAATTTAAAATTCTATTTTATTAGCAATCTCACAAAATTTAAGACTATTAATCCACAATCCCAATACCAAGTTTATGGATGAAACACTCCCTAATTAGGAGAAGTTATTAAGGGTTGGTTTGGGATGTGAGTTGATTTTTTAATTATTTTAGTCTGGGGTTAAAAATCTCGTTTGAGATAGACTTTTTGATTTTTTTGACTTTTATGAGAAAAAAATGAAATAATTATGGTTTAGATATAACATTTTATCTTATTAGACTAAAAAGTCTATTTTGTCATTTTGTAACTATGTTAGCCCAAAAATCTAATTTTAACTTATGTCAAATGAAGACTAATTGGTCTAAGGACAGGGATACGTAACACTCCACTTGATGAATTAAGTGAGAATTCTAATTTCATATTGAGTAATTAGTAAATATGAGAGATATAGTAATTCATAATTCCCCATGGACATCGCCATGTAAAACCCAAAAATTAACCAATAATTTTTCCTTCATTATAGGTGATGATAAATCATTACAAATAAATTAAAAAAATGGGGACCAAGTGTGGGATAATGTGGGCCCTTGGAATTGGCCCTCAACCCCAAGTTAATATCAGCCTCAAACAAACATAGCCTTATTTATATCCATCCAAAGTTTCCACGATGTCTTATCACACTACAAAGTACATCCCTTTCAGATTACACTCAATTCTCCAAAGTTCCACGTGTACGCAGGAGCTGTGGGGGTCCTGGCCCTGCAAATTGTGATGATATCCATCTCTCTCCCTCTCCCTCTCCTTCCTCCCTCTTCCTCTGCAATTTTTTTTTTTGAAACTTTGCCCCCAAAACGACGTCGTTTTGGGGGCGACAGGAAAGGGCGATAGGAAACCGCGACCGACGATCCGGATTCATGTGTACAGATATGTTAACCTACCTTCTCTGTATTTGGCCCAAAGAAATTCTCATATTTTATTTTATTTGATTTCTCAAATTTGGGTGTCTTTCTTGCCGCTTCTTTTCACATTATTTGATAAACTAAGGATAAGATTGACAAATTGAAAAAAAGGTTAAAAAGTTATTTAAAAAGTTATCACTATTTATTAAAAGTAAAAAATTATGGTTGCACAATTTTCAATCCTAATTTTTTCCTACATACTAATTTATACAATTTTCTAATACACATTTTTTTTTATAAAAAGTTAAAAAATTAACCCAAATAATCATATTTTTTCCTCAATTTTTTAATTCAAAAAGATAAAAAGTGTACTTATTTAGGACACTCCAAACAACCCCTAATTCTTCAAGTTTAATCTAAATGCTTAATTTGATATAACTCACTAATGGTGTGTATTAAAACTTTTATCAAATCTTTTTAAAAACATTTAACTTATCTCAAAATTTTCCTTAAACCAATTTTGATTTAAAAAAAAAAATCATCTCTAATTCTTTATTTTTTTCATCAAATTTAAGTAAAAAAATACTTAAGGAAAGATTTGGTTCATCCTTAATTTGATTTGCTTCTTTCTTCATTTAATATAAGTTTAATACGGATTAAACCTCATTCTAAACAAAATTTTCGTCAAATTTAAATTTGATAAAAAATTTAGTCAAAAATTAAGGATGCTCTTAGATATGCAAGTATATAACAAAATTTTAAAATAACTAAATCCTAAACATTCTCTAGTTTCTCTATCTATCCAACAAAAATAAAATAAAATTGTAAGATGAATAATTAGTCAATATAAAAAAAAAAAAATCATATAATCTAAAAAAAGAAAACATAATTCCAAAAGTAACTTTATTTTTGTTAGGTTTGACTAACTAAAAATTTAAAACATCTCATTTGATGAGTATGTTTTCATTATTTACTGTAGGTGTATTTAAAAAAGATTTAATTCTGTTGTGTACAAAACAACAACAAGAATAAAAGAAATAGAGAAAATGAGAGAATATGTTTGATTACAAAAATCAAACTCGAAATAAAAAAATAAATAAATAAAAACAAAACAGATTTTATTTTGTTACAAAAACAAAATTAAAATCTGAATAAATAAACAAATAAAAATAACACTGAAAGTAATTAAATAACTTACTTGATTTAATTTCTTCGACATCTATCTTT